ACCCACACCGGCTGTCCCACCTCTGCGCCGGCTAACACTGACTGGATCCTGGCGATCAGCTCCCCATCTCGGGCCCCTGCCGCCTCCAACAGCCTTTCCGTCGCATCGTGCAAGCCGCTGAGCTCCTCTGCCACGGCGCCCATGCTCGGAGGGCTCAGAGGCCCATTGCTCCTCGGACGCCGCGGTGGCCTCTCGGTCCGCACTCGGCGTTCTCCCCCTGCCAACCTCTCACGCAAGCTTTCGCTCACTGGCCCAACTCTTGCGGCCAGCAGCGTCAATTCATCCGATCGACGCACAGCTCCCACGAAGGCGTCTGTCCCCAAGTGCGCGACTATCTCCTCCAAGTCGCTCACCTCCAGCCCTTCTCGTGCTAACAAAGACCGACACAACCTGCATGCCCGGTCAAAAGCCCCTGAGCTCATTCGGGGAACATCTGCCATCATGATGGAGGCGCACGCCCACAAGGATGAGTCTGGACTCTCCTCCTCGCTCTCACTGTCTGGCTCTTCTGCGGCACTCACCTCGCTGTCGCCTCCTGCAGCTGCAATCTCTCCTGCGGCCTCTGCGTGCTCTCCAGCCTCCCTATCACGCTCTCCTAGACCGGCTTGCCCTTGCACGACCTCTTCCATCAAGCTCATGAGCCGGCCCATCTGCGCTTCCAGCCTTTGGTTTTGCTCCTCCAACGCGCTCAACCGAGCCGCTTGAGCGTTTTCAGCCTCGTCACCACCCGGGCTCACTCGCCTTTCTTCACCACTTGATCTCTCCTCCGTGCTCGCCACCTCCAACCCTCTCAGCTCTCTCCGCCGCTCACGTCCTCGCGCTCTCCTTTCTCTCCTCCGCCGATGCTCTCTCTCCTTGGGGTCCGCTCTCTCCTGGCCAGATCCAGTGTTGCAAGGGCCAACAGCCCCTGGTGCAACAAACTCCTGGATTCCCAACCGGCCAGGCGTTCCCTGAGCGGCAGTAAAGCGTGCGTCACTAGGCGTAGTCCCGAGGAACCCGCTGCCCTGTGTCTCACTCGCCCCCGCCGCTTGATCCAGCGCAGACACCTGAGAAGCATTCACGACGCCCCCAGGGCTGCACCAAACCCTCCTTGGTCTGCCCGGAGGCGTGACCACCCGTTCTCCAGCCTCTGGCTCAGGATGCACTCTGGGTCCCCCTTCCACGACACTTTGCCGTGAAGAGGTAGCAGGTGTTCCACCCGGAGCCACGGGCCGAGGAGACCCACCGGTAGCGCTGGCCCGCAGCCGCGCGCGTTCCCGGCGCGAAGGTCTCTCAGCCCTATCCTCCCACGAATCGGGAGGGCCGCTGAACTTAGCAGCTATCCGTTTCCGAGCTGCCCGCCTCGCCCCCGTGGATGGTCGGGAGGTTCTGGTAGGTTCCACGTCTAGGGCGGAGTGCAATTGCGCGTCTGAGCTAGATTGAGCCCGCTCGCGCAACGCATCGTCCAACGCCCCGGTTTCACTTTCCCATTGCCTCCTCCCCAACCCCAGGGAAACAGCTGCAATATACCGGTCGGCTAACGTGTTGGCCGAGGACCCCGAAAGGATCTCAACCGCCAGTGCAAAGCCCGCATTCAGTGACACTGGATCAGCAGCTCGAGGCATTGCCCCAGCTCGCTCCAGGTCACGGGCATCGCGCTGTGCACGCGCCAGTAATTGCGCATCCCGGTATGAAAAGCTGTTCCTTGAAGCTGCATGTGTGCCCGCAGAAGGATGCTCGGAACTTCCTCTGCTTTGGGCTGGTACACGTCCCGATGATGAATTTGTGGACATGTTTCATGAAAGTGGCGCTTATACTGTAAGGTTCGGGCCACGTGCCTCACAGGTCGTTTCATCATGTCGCGTCTATCCACCAAAGTCGCGTCGTCGTCAGTGGGCCCACCCCTCCCACCAGCCCCGGTTTACCTGCGCCAGGTCCCTATCGCACGCTTGACTGGGGCTAGCCAAACCCCTTGCCATGGCGGTGGGTAACCCCCACCTTACCGGTCGTGCACCGGGGGAATTATCGGCGAGGTCACCCTTGGGTGCCCCGTGGTCTCCCACACCACCGGAAGGTACCGTTTAGGGTTTAGGGTTTCGGGGTTCAGAGGTATAGGGGCTGCTCTCCGACACCCGACACCCTAAATATGGGATGAGGGAAGACTTTGGGAGTTTCTGAACATAGTGGACCCTTATATAGTACCCTAAGTAGTGGGATCCTAATTATAAGGACCCCCAAATAATGTACCCCTAATTTGTGGAAACTCCCAACCCTTGTAGGGCCCTGTAAAGGAACCCTTATAGTAGGGTTTTGAGCTTGGGGCTGAGAGCGTTGGAGTTTAGGGTAGCATTGGGCATTCTAGGGGCAAGAGTACTCTCGACCCCTGAGCACAGGCTCCAACATTAGGATCCCTGAGAGATGGGCATATTACTCAGGGGCCTTCATTGCTTAAAGGATCCTGGGACGTAGTAACTAGACCAAGGGATCTACGGACTCATGTTTTAAGGCTTTTGGGCCCAAAGACCATACTATACAAGGCTTTTGGGCTGTTTTGATGCCCAGAGTAAAGTTAAAAATTAAGCAACTCATAACCACAGTTAAGGTACTTCTAACCTTGCTTACCAAGTCCCGGGATCCTCCAAATACTATGAATGGTCCAGCGAGGGGTTTCTCGGTTTTGGCTACTGGAGGGTTTATAGGGTTTAGGGTTGGGAGTCTTACTTGCACGGCTTTGCGATTTGAGATTCAGGGATAAAGCTCTCTTGGGCTTTGCGGGTGCTTGGGCTGCAAGGTTGCGGACTCGCTAAGCGGCCTAGTCCTAAAATTTTAGTACTGCATTTATGGCGTCTTCTTGGGTTTAGCTCGCATATGAGTTCATACACCTGGGAGTCTCAAAGCCGTGTACAGAGACAGTGCTACATGGACTGCCGGCACTTGGCAAATGAACTCGACACTCTGTACATCAAATCATCAAACGCTTGCCAGATGTTGCCAGCATCTTGTGCACAAACAGCTTTACTGAAGGCCGCAGCGCTAAACCCTACATCCCCAAACCCTTTAACCCTAAACTTCTATCTGCCTAAACCCGACACAAGATGCTACGGAGAGGCTCCGAGCTCGACTGTACATTGAATCACCTGGCTTGGCAGAGTCCGAAGCTCGATCTGCCTCGGCGTTGTCGCCGCTTTACACTGGTGGCAACATCGAAGAGTCTTGATGTTGCCCAAAGGGTCGGGCGAAAGGGGTTGAGGATCTAGACATGACTTGGAAGATCATGTGTTCCTTTACGTAGGATTGGGGACTCAAAGAAGCTGTCTGAGATGCCAAAGGACTCAAGTGGGAGCAACCCAGAATGCATTTTTTATAGAAGCCACTCGACTTTCTCCTCCCCCTGGTACCAACACCATGCAACACTCCTTTAACGCTTCTATGAAGGCAAATGAAGCCCGTTAATAGTACAAGAACTGCGCTATAGCTCCCTATATGCACTGTCAATACGTTTTTAGTAACATAGGCGTACAGCACCTGTTGAAAACCTGCTTTAAGAAGTGACAAGCACCTTCCCAAAACGCCGTTGCAAGAATCCTCTCGGAAGGACCCCACCCCCAAACCCCGAACTCTAAACCCTACACCCCACACCCCAGATCCTGAACCCAAAGCCTGAACCCCAAACTCTGGAAACTTGGAGCCCTAAATCCCTCTCTTCCTCCGCCCTTTGGGCTTCGAAGGCAGCTCGGAAGACCGTCGAAGCCTTAGCCTACGGTAGGGGTCTGACTTAACGGATCATGTGACTAAGTAGCTATAGGGCTCCTAAAGAGGGCCCTTAACGGGATCGGGGCTTAGGGTTGCTGAAAGGATCAAGGGACTTGGCAACTCGGGTAACAATATAAGGCAGTGTACAATCACTTATTGCCCCAAGTAATGTACTTACAACCTTTACCTTTCCTTTTTGAGTCCCGTGATCCTTCAGGTAATGACGATCATTATAATGGGGCTCCTTCAAAGGATGATGTTGAAGTTTACTTTAGACGTCTTCTTCATAATTAGAATACGCTTTCTTTGAGCGTTGCTCTAAGGGTGTAATATAGGGGCCATGTCGATTAGAACAGGGCTCTTTAACAAGATACGACAGCGGCCGTAATAATCAAACTAAGGTTCATTTAAGGCCTTGCAAGGCCTCTACAAGGGGTACTACCGTAAGGTGTAGTTTGACAGAGCCTTACTGACTGGATAGGTATACTGATATCTGTAAGGACTGAAAGGGGAAACTCTGGCAAATCCTGCCCTAAACCCTAAACCCTAAACCCTCGAGCCTTGAAGCTCCACCCTTCACCCTGAACCCTAAACTCCAAACTCTACCTTAACCCGGAATAACCGACCTTTTAAGGACTTATATAAGGAAATCGTAATAAGGAGCCCTAAAAGGGTATGTTATTTTGGGTTAAGGTAGACCTTAACCCCCACAGCTTCTTCTTAGACCTGGAAGATGGGTCGACGATCCTCTCCATGCTGCCGCTTTCGAGCGCAAAACCTCGAGCCCTAGCTCGAGTTATACCGCTGGGTCCTAAGGGTCCCGAAACCTCGGGCTCATGTGACGTGGGATTTAGGAGTGAGGGCGTCGGGTTTAGAGATGAAGTTGAGGGGTTGTTGATGTTGGGCGTGCTCTTCGGTTTATACTTATGTATGTACATGTGATTATTGGTGCGGTTGTAGTCGGTTCGCAGACACTGCACGAACCATTGTCACCAGGAGTTGACAGACACGCTTAGGTTGTCGAGCTCAGGGTTCGTGTGGCTAGTATATGTGGTCTAAGTCAAAGGTCGGTACAGGATCGTCTTCTATGTTGTTTGGTTGTCAAGGGGTTGGGGTCGAAGGCCATCTCCTGGACGTAAATCTCCACTCCTATTGTATAAGGTCTGGCAGAATCTGCTTCGATAGACTCCTGTCCTAAACCTCAAGTCTTCACGCCCAAAGCGATTCATCGCAGCCAGGGGTCTATGCATGTCTACGATAAAGCCAACCTAGACCCCAAGGCCAGCATCGCTGCTCTCGCCATCAGAAGATGATGTCTCCTGCCAGTGTTTAGGGTTTAGGGCTTTTTCTTTGTGACCCCAGAGGGTTCATATACATTACCATTATGGTGGGGGTTGTAGCAGTGTTGGTTTGCTTCGTGTTTGCATGTTTTGGTTTAGTGGCAATGGAACGTGACCTGGTTCTGAATAACTAACAATAGTATCGCCTCAGACCTTCCAATACGCGTTTACTAAGGAATATACCTTTAATTGCAAAAGATGCTTCGATAATACGAACTAAGGTATATTCAGAATCACGGGACATTGGAAGGTCTGGGGCCTTTAAGCCTCAAGAAGTTATAGTACCGGGGCGTTAAAACCTAGAAGAGGCTTTTGAGGTACAGTACAATTACCTAGGATACCCAGTAACGTAAGAACAAAAAGGCCTCTCTTTTTGGTATTGGGTAACTTTATAAGGAACCTAGGACAAAAAAAAGAATAAGGGTACTACTGGGCATCCTAGGAAAGTGTATAGGCAACGAACCAGGGCCCGAGCCCTGAGGGTCCATGTACCCAAATAGTAAAAACTTTGACCTTGATTGAAGTAGTCCCTATATAGGTGGTTTAGGGTTTAGGGTTTAGGTACTTTGGGGCCAGAGTATATGCCATTTGGGTACATGGACCCTCAGGGTAGATTACCATGATTCACCAAGGCCCCTGTGTTGCCGGACTACAGTAGGGGGTTTCAGGCTCAGGGCATAGAGCCCAATTAAGTGCGAAGCCGTCGCTCACCGAAAGCCCTGTTTGCATCCTAAACCGCCAAACTCTAAACCCGAAACCTAAAGCCTAAGCACTAAATACAAAACCCCCACACCCTGCACCCTAACATTACCTGTACCCAGGATACCTACCTTCTTAAGGACGCATATAAGAAACTCACAAGAAGGAGCCCTAAAACGGCAGGCCCTCTAGCTACTATTTGCTTAAGAACCCTTCAAAAAATTAAAAAATATAATCCCCATATTATCCCTATAAGATTATAATCCCTATATTATCCCTATAAGGAATCTATTTTGTATTTTTTGGGTGGTTCTTAAGCAAATAGTAGCTAGGGGCCAGGTAAACCCTGAACTGATGATCCCCTGACGGGGTCCAGGTACTTGGAGGTTCATGGGTAGTTATAAGGGTTCCCTAGAGGGTCCCTTTAAAGGGATCTCTAGGGATTCTATAAGGGTATATATGGGGTTTTCTTCGAGGTTCATGGGTAGTCATAAGTGGGGTCATAAGCAAGGTAACTACAAGCATTACCCATATGATCATCGGACTTACAACTCCACTTATAACTACCCATGAACCTCGAAGAAAACCCTATACCCTTATAGAATCCCTATAGATCCCTTTAAAGGGACCCTTTAGGGAACCCTTATAACTATCCATGAACCTCCAAGTAAGCCGTGAAGGCCCCACCGTTACCAGAAATCTCCGCCTGCTCCGGCGTTCCGCTCTCGACTGCCGCCTTCTCGTCTGATTCACGCATCCTCTCTGGATTGAGGGTATATAGCTAGGGTTTAGGGTTTTGGGCTTCAGTTTAGGGTCCTTGGGTTTAGGGTTTCGTTGGGTTGATAGGGTTGAGGGGCTTAAGGTTTAGGGTTTTGGGTTTCAGGTTTAGGGTCCTTGAATTTAAGGTTTGTTGGGGTTATAGGGTTTAGAGGGTTTATGTATAGGGTTCAGAGGCTTAAGGTCTAGGGTGTAAGGTCCTAGGGCTTAGGGTTTATACAGGGCTTAGGAGTTTAGGGATTCGGGGTTCCAGGGTTTAGTTAGGGTTTTTTGGGTTTTGGGTTGAGGTCTCTCTGGATTTGGGGCTTACCCAAAGCTCTTAAAGGCGTCCGGAGCTTTCTGAGGGAAGGTTTGGGATTTGGGAGCCAGGGTTTGGGATCTCACTCTGAAAGTCCTAGAACTTCTAGGAAAGTTAGATTTAGGGTTTAAGGTTTAGGGCTTTTCAAGGGTTCAGGGCGTACTGGGTTTAAGGTTCGGGATTTTAGGGTTTGGACATCTGGGTCCCGGTTCCGAACTAGGCCCATCCTTTCAGGGCTCTATAAGGGCTTATCATGGTCTTGGGCGTTATTTATGGGTCCATGTACTCATATAGCTCATTCAGAGCTCTGTAAGGGCTTATTAGGGTCTTGGGGTTCAACCCCTCTATATATATATATATATATACTTCAGGGCCCAAGCATATACTATCTATATACCTAAACCCTGGGGGAGGAAGGGTTTGACTGCCAGGGTTTCGAGATTGAAGGCTCAGGGTGCGATTCGGATTTTGCTAGGATACCCAGTAACCTAAGAACAAAAAGGCCTCTCTTTTTGGTATTGGGTAACTTTATAAGGAACCTAGGACAAAAAAAGGAATAAGGGCACTACTGGGCATCCTAGTTTGTGAAGAGTTAGATGGAGCTTTCGGCTTTCAGGACTGTCCAGAAGGCAAGAACTGTAGGCGCAGGCAACGGCCGATATCTGAGGAGAATGGGACGGGACTTTACGGTACTGATACCCTCTTAGTCTATATCAAGAACGGTCTGCTTCTTGTCCTTGTGTTGCAAATGAAGATTCCTCTCATATTCCAGTAGAAGAACTTCCGCTGCACCCGGACTCCGAAAGCTTAAAGCGTCAAATTCTGAATCACTCAGACACCAAACGCACATCAAACAATGCCGAAACCCTATCGATGCCACGTCCTGTGCTGCACCTTCTTGATGATCGACCGTGGCTTGGCAAGGTGATCATGCATCCAGAGAAGGATGTACAGCACGACAGGGACCTGCAGCAAGAAGCAACTCACAACCTCCAACCCACAACAATTTCGGCAAATCGTAAACCCAGACCAAAACGCCTAAAGTCATACTGTTAAACACATGTTTGTACTTTTGTGTACTGTGCTGCTATGTAGCAATATGCTGCCATGTATTATACGATACTACTAGTACTGGTTAGGGCTAGGGCGCAGGATTTAGCTGCAAGTTTATTATCGCACAGTTCCGAGCTAACATCTTCAAGGGCTCACTTAAAGGGTTATGGGGCTTAGTAACTAGGGCTACAACTAAGGTAACTAAGCTTATTATAACTACCTGTATAACCCCAACATAAGGTACCTATGCCGATAATCTTACTTTAAAAGACCCATGACTCTCCAAGCAGTCTTCAGGATAGGTGCACACGAACTTGCCGGCTGGGCAAATGAATACCAGTTTAGGGTTAGGATGCGGCTGCTGTAAGTTTCCATAGCTTTTCTATGTTCATGTCTCTTCTCACAGCTCCTCTCACTGGGCCCCACGCTGGCATGAGAAGGACCTTTAGGTTGACCATTGCCACCTAAGCTGCACGGATGGTCACATTATCAGGGTTTAGGGTCTGGCAGGGTTTAGAATTTGGGACAAGAGTGTGCGTCTTATTGACAGCATGCTTCGCTTGTACAGCCAAGCTAGCTGGGGTTGTGAATTAATCAGGATGTCCTGTGAAGCATATAAGGAGTGACGGAGATGTGTGTGTGGTGGAGAATGAAATAGCGGCCGGTCAGCTAAATTGCAGAAAATCTGTGGCAATGTCGTCTTCCAAGGCTCACGGCGACCCCGAAGACCTTCGGCCCTGAACCTTGTACCCTGCACTCCAAAACTCAATCGGTATACATTAGAAGAGGCCCCCGCCCTGTAATACTGGTATAGTAGGAATATAATAGGGCCCTAATATAATCCTTATAGTCACTATTACAGGGTGGGGGCCCCTTCTAAGGTATACACACCCTGCAGACCTCAGGGACCATATTGCTCAAAGTGAACCCGCTGCTTCCAATTAAGCATCCCATCATTGGACTTTGGACTGAAAGGCTTGTAGGCTCAGGACAGGGCTGGCACATATCAAAACAAACTACTGACGGTGCATACATACAACAAATGTGTACACATGTGTCTGTGCATGTGCATGTGTGTGCGCGCTTGCCAGTTAGCTTGTGTGTGTGTGTTCCTCCAGCTCCAGCTTTAGCCTAGATCGGTCACGGGACAAATGCGCTTCGGCTGTCGAGCAGACATTTTCCTGTGGTTCAGGGTCCTCGACCATGAGCTCTGAAAAGGAACCAACCCCGAGCTTCGGGTGTTACCCAAAAGGGTCCAAGTATCATTTTGAACTATACTTATAGGGCATTTTGGGGGGTCTAAGTATGTACCATAATGATACTTGGACCCTTTGGGGTTATGATATGATTTACTCTATATAACCCTAAGGGTCCAAGTACCCAAATAGTAGGGTTTCAAGCTCCAGAAACCACTCAGGGTATGGATTTTGGGATCTAAAACCCTACAATTTGGGTACTTGGACCCTCTGGGTAAGGTACCCAAATAGTATATACTGCATTGGCCTTAATATAGGCACATTGGGCCTAATGTATAGACTATATGGGTACATGGACCCTTAGGGTTAGGTTTGGAACTTGTTGGAACTGGATTTGCAGGCCAGGCACCATGAAGGCACCAAGAATGGCGCCGGCCAGCGTGCCAACCTGGGACGGGGGTTGGGGCTGTAGGGTTTAGGGATTTAGGGGTTTAGGGCTGCAGGGTTTAAGGTTTAGGGTTGCTCCGATGGTACTGATTCTGCCAAAACCTGGACTGAGACTGAGAAGTACATCCTACAGCCGTATAGAAGTCCAAAATGACCCCGGACCTTAAAAGCCCCAAAACTAAAGCCTAAACCCAAAATCCTCACTCTAAACCCCCCAAACCCTCAACCCAAATCCTAGATTCTAAGCCTCCCTAAACCCTAAGCCGATTCGAAGCTCAAAAAACCTGAGCCTGAGACCTTGCGCCGCACACTATCAGGCCCGAACAGAGCATTGTTTTTAGGCTACGGCATGTGTTGTTTAGGGTTTCTGTCTTTTTCAAAAACCGGGCCGAAACAAATCCAAACTTTCTATCTATGATAGACCACATACATATATACATATATATATATATATATTATATTATATATATATATATATACATATCTGTGTATACATACAAACACAAAAGTTTGAACTTCTCCCATGTGCTATCTAAGGTTTGCCCCCTTTCAAGCACCACGGCCAGTGTCTGCCAAACAGGCGAGGATCAAGGATCATCACAGCCATGATCGCTTTCCTGGGCTTATTGAATATAAACAGGCTTCGGTGGGCTCTTTCCATCTGTGTAACATGTGGACCATGACGTACGAAGCACATATACAATATGCATCAGAGCTGACTTAAACGAAGAAGATCAAGTTACGTTACTAACTAGAGCCCAGCTGCCATGTGTCCTGCGCCGTCAGACTGCCAGTCAGCATGAGGTTGGAGAGGTGGTTTGCCAAACTTAGCATGTGACCGGTAACCATGGTTGTGTGGGTTCCCATTCGTCCAGTGCTGCAGGCAGAAGCCACGACGCCGAACAAGTGTGAGACGCCGGCCACTGTCCAATCTTGTTCGGAGGGCATGTGAACTTCAATGACTTCGGCAATAAGCAACAACGCGGCCACGGGAAGTGCAATAACGCTACCTCCCCTGTTTGGGAAGAAGTGCTCGCTAACGCGCTGCAAGACGGCGCCGGAAGCAAAGGCAAACATGATGACGACGTAGTAGAATGGGCCTCTGCGGAAAGCCCACATCCTACACCCCAAAGCCTACACGAGAAAAAATAACAAGAACAGTAAACACGGTTTTGTCGAGCACATGCTGTGGGCCTTCATCGAAAGCTGAAACTTGATTCGCAATGGCACGACCAAACATGATGGCATTCCCCGTCATCATGCTGGAAAAACATTTGTACCGCAGCATGCTGATGACGTCGGCATAGCCTGTCCTTGGTCTCCCCGTGATGGATGTTCGGGGTTTAGGCTTTAGGTGGCTCACAGAATCCGAATCCTAAACGGGCAAAAGTTGCCACTCTGCGATTAAGTATCACGAAAGCAAACATGGTGGCCATCAGAATGTGCTTCTGCCATCGCCATGCCTTTGACTTTCGAGACAAGCCCATACAAGGATTCGGGATCATCAGCACTTGAGGGGTCATGGGTAGTTTCCACACCCTAGATCCTTAAGCCGCAAGTGTGGCTGCCTTATTTGTCTATTACTCCGATCCTCGAAGTACTGGCTGATGAGTTAATGAACCCAGAGACTCCAATATCCCTTAATTAAGGAATATTCCTTAAATCATGGCGGGATCCCTAAATTAAGAAATATACCTAAAACCATCGTAGGATCCCGAATATGGTTTAAGGAAGATTCCTTAATTGAGGGCCTCTGGGAAACCCTAAGGCCTAAGCTCTCACACTAACCCTGAGGCCTGAAAGGTCTCCAGTTTAGGGTACAACCGTAAGCCTTACCTATAACACTAAAGTTTGAAGTAACCTACAGTAAGCCCCATAAAGTTGGAAAAAAATAAAGGCCAAATAGTGCTGGGAGTTCTTATACATTACTCAAGGATTGAGGCTATGGGGTTTCCAGTTTTTGGGCTTTTCCTGTGAGTAGCCCTTGCCTTCAACACCAAGGGGACGACAGCGTCAAGAACCTCAACTTGATAACGGTTATTGTTGAGGGTTTAGGATTTAATCCAAAACCTCAGTAAGTATAGCATCTTCCATCTCAACATGGATTCTGAACAAGTGGCCCCTTAACCCCTAAACCGTAATACTAAACCCTACGCCAAAAATCCTAAATGTCTCGCATGATACATAAAGCCCGAAACTCTATGAACCCGAAAAACAACGTCCTATAGACTCTCTACACCGAACAACAATTAAGCCCTAAACGTTAAAACACAACTAAACCCTACGTAAATCCAAAGCCGTAAGTGAAAGTTACGTAACCCTAAATGCTGCATAAACCCTATGCCCTAAACCTTAAATGTATTACCCTAAACCCATTTTAAGCCTTAAGCCCTAGATCTGAAACTACCCTACACCCACTACAAGTCCTATGCCGTAAACCTTACATGTCTGAACTACCCAAAACCCATTATGAGCCTTAAGCCCTGAATCTCAAAATTACCCACAACGAATATTAGACCCTACGACGTAATCTCAAATCACACGAACCCTCTTACAAATCATGTAAGCCCTAAACCCTAAACCTAGACAGTAAGCAATCCCAAACCAATTAAACCCTAAACTCTTAGCCCTAGAGCCTGGACCCTAATCCTACTCCCTCAGCCGCTAAGCCCTAAACCCCAAGCCCTACAGGATCTTGAGGACGCACGATTGGCCCGTGGCTGGGAGTTACGCGTGGTCTAGACCCTTAAGGTTTAGGAGTTCAGGCTTTAAGTTTAGGGTTTAGGGTGCCCTAAGACCCCAACTCCCGAAATAAGTACCCCTGGGGATCTAAGGACTCATATATTAAGGTTTTGGGGCCCAAAGACCATACTATATAAGGCTTTTGGGCTATTTTGATCCCTAGGGTACTATGTATAGACTTGAGAACCCCAGAGTAGGTACCAGTTGTGTAGTCGTGGTCTTAGGCAAGCCCTACACTACAAAAACGATGTTGGTCGGATTCAATGTAGGGGCCGGCAAAATTAGAGCCCAGGCTTTAGTACGTTCAGCAGGGTTTTGACAGGTATATCCGGGATATCCAAATATCACAAGAATCAGGAACCCTGGGGAGGATTTCAGGCCCCTATCAAGTACGTTGTTGGGCCCAAGCCTCAAAAACCTAAATGCCAAAGGCTGACCGCGAAACGTCTCATTTACTATGCATCAATGCACCAATGCATGCAGGGGCGAGCACAATATGCGGTCGTTGGAGGGGGGTTTAGGTCATACCTTCTTTACACTTTGCGTGCAGCAACTGTATGAGTCGATATCATGATGTTTTGGGGACCCCCTTTACTACCTAAAACCCTAGACGAAAGTAACATGGCAGTCCTCAAGTGAGCCCGGTCTCTGTGGGGGAACTTCGCTGTAGACCCTACGCACTAGGGTTTAGGGTTCAGGAATCTAGGATTTCAGCAGGATTAAGACCCCGACAAAAGCCTGCAATCTGAAGCAATGCACGACACGAGACAGGTACATTCCAGAAGCCTAAATCAAGGGACCAGGTGCCCCCCCAGTCGTACACTGTTTGGACCCGAAGTACCTAGATAGAAACTCCTCTAATGCCAAAGTAAATACTATATGGGCACGGACGCTCAGGGAACCGGAAGCCCTGTGCCAAGACAATGTCCAACATCTTTAGGGTTTGGGGTGATTTGAACATCTGTCCCCGTGCTGCCTCGCTGGACACCATCTTTGTGAATGCTTGGCTTGTTTGCAGCAGGAGGTCTTGAACCAAAACGGCTCCGCGGTTTGGGGTCTCGTCTGTGGCTGAGTACAAACAAGATGTGGGGATTCGGGCTCGTCCCAAATGGCTCAGAAGCATCACAATCCCCATATGCAAACGGCCTCAAGTCCATGTCGTAATCGGCGGTACAGTGTACGATAGGGACCTCCAGATCACCTCACTCGTAACACCGTTCTATATGCCGGTGCCATGCCGGATCCAGGGCACCCTAGCCCTCAATCTTTACCTTCATCACACCCCGATCTTCAACCCTGCACCAAACAACTAAGCATCCGCCGCCACCAACCCCCCCCCCCCCCTTGGGCATACACCCACTGTTGGCAAGAGGCAGAGCCGCATCCAGGTGTTGTGGGAGGGCAGCCTGACAATTCAAAGGAGAAACACCAGCACATGGGAGTCTCTGAAAATGGGGGACCCTAACATAGTACCATAAATAGTAGGATCCTTATTATAAAGACCCCAAAATAAGGTACCCCCTATTTTCGGAAACTCCCACATGAATACCGACAGGGTTTGGGTCCAGGGCACAGGGTTTGGGGTGAGAATTGAGGGGCTCAGGGCGTTGGCTTCAGCGGCCCACCCGAAGCTATACACCATAAACCGGAACCCTAAATGAGGTATCCCAAGGAAAGGGCTCAAGCTTCGGTCTAGACCAATTGAAGTTTTGAGGCTTCGGGGAATGGCATTTCGTGTTCAGGGTGTAGGGTGTCTTCCCACGCTGCGGCTGAAGATCTACACATCAAGCAAGGTGTGAGGACCATCTCAAGCCTCAAGCACCATAAGTGTGCACAGAATGTTTGTATGCTAGTATCAGGACTAGCTGTATTGAGAGCAATAATGGGACACATACTGGGTTCTAACGTCGATGGTGATGATGATGATGTTGTTGATGATGATGATGATGATGATGATGATTATAAACATCACTATGGCTGCTCCTAGTACGGCTATCAGTAGCATAATTACTGCTTGTACGTTCGTCATTCATCGTTCCTTTGTACATATGTATATATATATATATATATATATATATATAACACATATATATATATATATACTTAGAGGGGAGAGAGTATCAATGAGGACGATTGTTATTCTGCATATTATCTATTTTATATTTCCATAAAACAAATATTACTACAACTTCTTCATTGTTAGTATTCTGTTTCTTTTGGAAAATCTTACTGTCAATATTTAGTACATTAGTAACAGTACGACGATGATGTTTGTGATTGGACGGTCATCAAGGTCATGACCATGATGGCTCAATGACTCCATCATGCCGACACCATGTTGATTATGATACTGACGCTGAGGCGGATGCGGATGACGACGATTGCCTGATTGTGACGAACGTGATGGTGATGATGATGATGATGATGCTGATGATGATGGCGACGACAACGATGATAATGATGATGGTGGTGGTGGTTGTGGTGCTGGCAGTAACGGTGGCAGTGGCGGTGGTGGCGGTGGTGGTGCGGTGGTGGCCAAAGTGGCGATGGAGGTTGGGTGGAGATCGAAGAAACAGCAGCGTCAATGACCTCACTCAGCAATGGTGGCAGTAGCAATCGTCCTCAAAGTTGTAGGCACCCCAATTTTGCCTCCCGTACTGCCAGTTATGATGCTGGCTCCCACTGGACCGGTGAAAAAAAAAAACATGACCAGCACTTGCAGGATCATGGGACTTAGCAAGTAAGGTTACAAGTACCTTAATTGGGGTTACAAGTAGTTCTAAGCATAGTACCCTAAGTATAACCCTAGTTACTAAGTCCCATGATCCTTTAAGTAATGTACTGTAGGGCCTGAATAAGCAAAATAGGGTTTGGGTGTTTCCTATACTAATTATAATCATAGTAAGGACCCACCCAAAAAAAAGCAAACAGTATTGGTAATTATTTACGCCCCTGTAGAATATGAAACATTCAAGCAGGTGGAAGTCGATCGAGGGGAGTGTTCATGAGGCCAAAACCTTTGTGAATTCTGCTTCCTAGAGACTCCAATACACCTTTATTAAGGAAATTTACCTTAAATTATAGTAGGATCCTTAATATGAGGAAAGGAATATTCCAAACATTAAGGGATATTGGAGTCTCTGGGTTCTCATATCGGGCAGTTCGGACGGCTAGCTGCAACAAATTCCCCTGACCAATCTCGCTGTAAAGACCCTGTAAGAAGTAGAGTCTGCATTACGAAAAATGCCAACCCTGAAATCACGACTGCAGTCTATCTCCATCCATCCCAGCCAGCTTTGCTTTTTTCGAGAACACTCCTGGCATGCTGCGCCTCCCTGACCTCGAGCTGACAGAAGCCGTGCCCATGGAGCCCCAATTCCTTAACATGCAGAAGCCCTAGCCCCCGCAAAACAAATCTGTTCTTCTGCAAAACCCGAAATCCCCATAGCGGCAAAAAACAATCGTGGGATGATGATTTAAACCCTGCAGTACCTTAATGCCCCTAGACTATGGGAATTATGGTATATACCTTACTATGGGTATTGCAGGATTCAAAATCATGAACCGTAGTAAGTAGCTTTGCAGGTAGGACCTGGCGCATAATTACTCAAAATTGGGTCATCCTGCTTAGGACGCACCCTAAACCCTAAACTAAGCCCTATGGGGAATGGAGGATTTGTATCATCAACAGCAT